CTAGTATCCCCTATGCCAATCCTACTTACATGGCTTCTCCTGAGTATTCTAAACAGGTACGATTTGCAAAAATCCAAATGAGAACTAAATAGACAAACCATATTGCAAAAGAAGTCTCTAGTGCATACCTTTAAATAGCTGAGGGTTCCTCTGGTTCTTAGAAACTGCTCAATTTAGTAAAACATGATAAAGAGATACATGATTGATTGATTGACAGATAAAATATGTTAAGAAATTAGCACAGTGGCCGGGCGCGGTGGCTCAAGCCTGTAATCCCAGCACTTTGGGAGGCCAAGACGGGTGGATCACGAGGTCAAGAGATCGAGACCATCCCGGTCAACATGGTGAAACCCCTCTCTACTAAAAATACAAAAATTAGCTGGGCATGGTGGCGCACACCTGTAGTCCCAGCTACTCGGGAGGCTGAGGCAGGAGAACTGCTTGAACCCAGGAGACAGAGGTTGTGGTGAGCCGAGATCGCACCATTGCACTCTAGCCTCGGTAACAAGAGCGAAACTCCGTCTTAAAAAGAAAAAAGAAAAAAGAAATTAGCACAGTATGCAAGAGAGGTGTATCAGGCTGCTGAACAAATACATCTTGCACCGGCAAATGGTTATCACAAGAACCTTTCCAACAAGCCATCTGAGCAATACCAGACAGTCCTGCCAATACTTGATAACACAGAAAACACTAAAGAATAAACCCCAGCCCTATGAATTTTCTGTCACCAGACTGCACTGAAATCCACTGGCAGCTGCGGACCCACAGGGTCATTTCACATGAGAAAGTGCCTCTCCCCCCATGCTGCTCTTCCTCGCATCACCACTCATGCGGCCACCAGCAAGTTCAACCCAGTCGCTCCTCGAAGCCTCTTGTTGCCTGGGTTCCAGAGGAGTGCTGCACTGAGACCAGAGTGCGGTCTGAGGGGCAAGGATCTGGAATCCACAGAGTCCCGGCTTACCCTCCTTTGCCCAAAGGCTTCTGGGAGCAGGAGGAGCTGAGATCAGCCCAGGCCTGTCCTACAGGAGCCTGGGTAAGGGAGTGGAGGTAGCAGTGCATAGCCACCGGCAGGAATTTTCTGCGGCCCAAACACAGACGCATCCAAAGAGGTGTGAAATGCACACAGCCTATACCCAGCAAGCCAGGAAATGGTCCACTGGGCCAGCCATCCAAATCCACGAGCACTCTGTGGCTGCCCACTCATCTCTCACCTGACACAGGCTGCCCTGAGGGAAGTGACCATCAAAAGATGGGCCTGAAGAGGTGCTAACTTCAGATCCCACTTAGCAGGGAAGGACCCTCGCCTCTCACTTTAGCATCAAGTGACTTCTGACCTCCAGTTCATGACTTTAGGGTGAAGCCCCTCTGCTCAGCAGCAGCCTCCTCCACGCACCATCTATCCCCAATCCACCTCTGGCAACTCTCCCCCACATCCCATCCCCCACACAGGCACATGCGCTGGGACCCAGCTGTAAGATCATCCCCAGCTCCCCACTCAACCAGCACTCCTGGATGCAGGCACCTCCCCACCACCTGCACCAGGGCAGGAGAGAGGGAGCGGCAGGAGCACACCAGTCCGGGAAAAGGCGAGGCACACCGGAAAAGCAGGTTGGGTGTTTCTGTTTCAACGGTAACTGGGGAGTCAGCTCACGTTTATCAGAGCCGCTTTCAGGGAAATCACCCGTGGCAAAGTCAGAAGCCACAGGCCAGGAGCCTCCCACCCTCCAGACAGTTAAGGGGCCTCCTCATGGTTCCAGCGCAGTGACGCCCAGCCACACCTCTGCAGCTCTCCAGCACATGAGTGTGGATCTGTGGCCTCCCCAAAGGTCAAAGCTGCCCCACTGGCCGTCTCTTTCAATACCCCATCCCTGGATACTGTTGTTATTCCCAGAAGTAATGCCAATCCAGAAACACCTTCTACACCTGCCAGGGGCGGGGGCCGCCTGCCCTGAGACACTGTCCACCAGGCTTGTTCAGCCACAACGCATGCCAGGCTGGGCCCTGCAGGACACTGGGGCAGTCACTTCCCGCGACAAAACAATGCCGCCTGCCTAGGCAGGTCTATGGGACTCAAAGCAGCACATGGGATGCCCTGGACAGGCCGGAAGCCTCCCATTCCAAGCTGGGACAGTGGGTCTTAAGGCTAGGCATCAGAATCTCTTAGGGAGATTTTTAAAACACCATGTTGGTTCAATCCCAAAAGAGCTGGATGAAGGTCTGGGGGAACCTGAGCTTCAGGATTTCTTACAATGCACCTCCCCGCCAGCTGAAAACCACTGCTTTAGGACGGGCACAGTGGCTCACACCTGGAATCCCAGCACTTTGGGAGGCCAAGGTGGGCAGATCATGAGGTCAGGAGTTCAAGAACAGCCTGACCAACATGGTGAAACCCCATTTCTACTAAAAATACAAAAATTAGCCGGGCGTAGTGGCAGGCACCTGTAATCCCAGCTACTCAAGAGACTGAGGCAGGGGAATCACTTGAACCCAGGAGATGAAAGGTTGCCGTGAGCCGAGATTGCATCACTGCACTCCAGCCTGGGCAACACGGGAGACTCCGTCCCAAAAAAAGAAACAAAAACCAACCACCTGAGCACTGGAAGATGACCTCAAGTCAAAAGTCGCTAGGAGCACCACAAGAGAAGGAGCAAAACAGGCCTCTGGACTGCCCAAAGAGAAGCCAGAAAAGCCGCGGGCTGGCTCACAGCTCACCATTTACCCTTATCTAGAAAAGATCGGTCCCCTGGCGTCAGAAAGGAGTTATGGTCCCGCTTCTAGAGATGGGTACCCTCACATCATCAAGAGGCCATGGGGTAAGCCCGTTGCTTGCTATGCACAAGGTTTCCAGCATGTTTTACCCATGTCTCAGAGAGCTGCCCCTGGGATTCTGCCCCATTTCGGCTGCTCTGCTGGATGCCTGGGACGAATAAATATTCAACACAGGCCGAGCACAGTGGCTCACGCCTACAACCCCAACACTTTGGGAGGCCAAGGCGGGTGATCACCTGAGATCAGGAGTTCGATACCATCCTCACCACCATGATGAAACCCCGTCTCTACTAAAAATACAAAATTTAGCCGGGTGTGGTGACACATGCCTGTAACCCCAGCTACTTGGGAGGCTGAGGCAGGAGAATCGTTTCCACCCAGGAGGCGGAGGTTGGAGTGAGCCAAGATCGCTCCACTGCACTCCAGCCTGGGCAGCAAGAGCAAAGCACTGTCTCAAAAAAAAAAAAAAAAAAGCAACACAGATTGTGACCCTCTTCCTACCACCCACCACCAGTAAGACTATGCAGAGCCCCCATTTCCTCAGCTATGGGGGAAAAAGGCAGATATCGGCATATAAGAAAAAAACAGTAACAATACTAAGGGAAATACAAAAAAAACGGGCTGCTGACGCCAGAACAAATAATCCCTAATGAATCCTCTTTCTCCCTGAGAAAGGCGTTGCCCGCCGGGTGCAGTGGCTCACGCCTATAATCCCAGCACTTTGGGAGGGAGGCCAAGACCAGCAGATCACAAAGTAAGGCATTAAGACCAGCCTGGCCAATATGATGAAACCGTATCTCTACTAAAAATACAAAATTAGCTGGGCATGATGGTGCACGCCTGTAGTCCCAGCTACTCGGGAGGCTGAGGCACAAGAATCACTTGAACCTGGGAGGCAGAGGCTGCAATGAGCCAAGATCACACCACTGCACTCCAGCCTGGGCAACAGAGCAAGACTCCATCTCAAAAAAAGGAAAAAAGAAAAAGGGAAAAAAGAAAACACTGCCAACATGCAGGAACTCTGACGGTCAAGACCAGGCTAAGGGCTGGGTGCGATGGCTCATGCCTGTAATCCCAGCACTCTGGGAGGCCACGGCAGGCGGATCACCTGAGGTCGGCAGTTTGAGACCAGCCTGACCAATATGGAGAAACCCTGTCTCTACTAAAAATACAAAATTATCCAGGTGTGGTGGTTCATGCCTGTAGTCCCAACTATTCGGGAGGCTGAGGCAGGACAATCGCTTGAACCCAGGAGGCATAGGTTGTGGTGAGCCAAGACAGCACCATGGCACTCCAGCCTGGGCAACAAGAGTGAAACTCCATCTCAAAAAAAAAAGAAAGAAAAGACTGCCGGGCGCGGTGGCTCAAGCCTGTAATCCCAGCACTTTGGGAGGCCGAGGCAGGTGGATCACAAGGTCGAGAGATCGAGACCAACCTGGTCAACATGGTGAAACCCCGTCTCTACTAAAAATACAAAACATTAGCTGGGCATGGTGGCACGTGCCTGTAATCCCAGCTACTCAGGAGGCTGAGGCAGGAGAATTGCCTGAACCCAGGAGGCGGAGGTTGCGGTGAGCCGAGATCGCGCCATTGCACTCCAGCCTGGGTAACAAGAGCGAAACTCCGTCTACAAAAAAAAAAAAAGAAAAGACTAAGGCATGTTTCTCTTCCTCTCTTAGGAGAGGTTACATCACCACATCTTTACAACAGCCACCAAATGATGTGACCATCTAAGTCTTTGATGCATAAGATATAGACTTTAGCAGCTGAAATTTACCTTTTGAGAGGCAAGGCAAGCAGACCACTTGAGCTCGGGAGTTTGAAACCAGTGGGTAACATGGTAAAACCCTGTCTCTACAAGAATACAAAAATTAGCCAGGCATGGTGGCAAACGCCTGTGGTCCCAGCTACTTAGGAGACTAAGGTGGGAGGATTGCCTGAACTGGGAAGTGGAGGCTGCAGTGAACCAAGATCATGCTACTACACTCCAGCCTAGGAAACAGAGCAAGACTGTGTCCAAAAAAAAAAAAAAAAAAAAAAAATCACTTAGGGAGATGAATGCTCTTATCTCCCCAGGTCGTGGGACAGCTATGGTATATCTGCAAGGGCTGCTGGGAGGGTGAGGAGGGAGAAGGGCAGCACTCTAACAGGCAGGTGCCAGGGCCTCCCCACCCCCCGCCCATGCTGGGGCTGTCCCAGACTGGGCCGTCCTCCGGCCAGCTGCTGCGCACCTTTGGCGTGGAATGTCCAGCCCCTCCGCCAGTACTCCTGCAGCCGGACCCGCTCCTGCTGGCCCAGGCTGCACACTGCGCTGTAGAACTGCCGCTCGATGTGCACGTAGGCGGCGGGGATGGCGCCAGCCACGCCTTTGGCCCCGAAGAAGCCGTTCACCTCTGGTGAGGCCAGCAGGATCTGGTACTCAGCCCTCGTGCCCAAGACCAGGTCCATGTAGGCCTGGGTCAGGTTGAAGTAGCCAGTGGTGAGGTAGACCTTTGCACCACACTCGGCCTCAGTCAACAGGGTCTCAGTGACAATCTCATCGATTTGAATCTCGAAGGGCTTCATCTGAATCAGTGGATAAATCCAGGTGTCAGGGGCTGGTCTGCGATCCCCGGCAGCTGCTGCGTCTTCCTGGGTCAAAAGGGAGTTGCCATGGAAGGTCTGGGCATGCAGCAACTGCTGGCGGGTCCTGGCTGAGTTGATCACATCCATGACCCTCTTATTGGCTGCCTTACAGTACTCTGCCCGGTCACCTAGAGGAAGACGCCAGAAAGAAGAATGAAGAGAATAGAAATGGAGGGTCTGGACTCTGCCCAGCTCAGGGAACAGGGCATGTGACAGGCAGATGCAGATGCTACAACTGGATGTTCCCTGAACACATAGTGAGTGAGCCCAAGACCCCTCAAGCCCAGGGCAAGGCTCCTCTGCAGAGAGTTTGCCCACGACAAGGGCCTTGTCCACAGTAGCCCACACTCAGGCAGAAGTGAAAGGCATGTCGACATATCATCCCAATTACAAACAAGCTCCAAACCAGACAAGACAAATTCACAGGGAGAGAAATCAGGAGAGTGGTTACCTTGGGGGTAATTCCTGGGGTGGGGACAGAGGGGGACCTCTGGGAAGCGGACCCACTAGGAAAAGGTTCATGGCTGTGCACCTGGGACTGGCGTTTGCTATGCATGTCTACTTCAGTAAGGAAGCTCATTCAAATTAAGATACATGCGAATAACCACAAAAGGAGCATGTGTATGCCACAGACGGGGTCACAGGGAAAGCCCTGGATAAGCGCCGTCAGGGAAAGCTTCCCACAGCAGTGACAGTGCCTGAGAGAGAGGAAGAACCGGCAGGTTCAGGTGCTACATAGGGTGCCCTCTGTATTCGGACAAAACACTGGTGACCATGCAGACCCACTAAAGGGAAAGATGCTATGATCAGACAAGACACAGCTGAAAATTAACAAGTTAAGCATCCAACGAAAAAAGTCAGGGGAAAGAAACAGAGTAAAACCACAAATACAGCACAGGGAAGGAAAAAAAAAAACGAAATAAGATCAGGCAGGGCATGGTGGCTCACGCCTGCAATCCCACAACTTCGGGAGGCTGAGGAGGGCAGATCACCTGAGGCCAGGAGTATGACACCAGCCGGGCCAACATGGTGAAAGCCTGCCTGTACCAAGAATAAAAACACTAGCTGGGCGCGGTGGCAAGTGCCTGTAACCCCAGCTACTCCTGAGGTTGAGGCTGGAGAATCAAACCTGGGAGGCAGAGGTTCAGTGAGCCAAGATCATGCCACCACACTTGAGCCTGGATGACAAAAGCAAAAAACTCCATCTCAAAAAAAAAAAAAAAAAACAAAAAACTATATATATAATGAAAACGATACAGAGAGTATCCACTGTGGAAAGCTGATTCCCTGATAAAGGATAGTGAAACAGGGAAGGAGGGCTGCCCTGAGTCATCCTTGCCGGTTCGGACGGTCTGAGCTGAGAGCAGGGACAGATACTCAGTGCCTCCCAGGGCTGAGCTGCAGAGCAAAGAGAAGGATCAGCAGGTGCAGGACTTTCCTGTTGACGCCAGCACCATCCAGGGCAAAACGGAGTCACACTGCCACATGCTGGACAGGGCTGCGGGAGGGGCCTGAGCACGCCCTGGACCTCTTCACGGACTCCCACTCTTCAAAGCACAGCTGCACTCCAGTCTCCCCGCTCCCGCTCCAAACCTGCTGGCTCTCATCCTGGCCTAGCATGGCCCATTTTCTCTCATATCCATGCCTGGCCTGTTACATTAGACCAGGCATCCACACGCATTTTCTTTAAGGGTCAGATGGTAAACATTCTAGGCTTTCTGGGCCAAAAGGCAAAGCTGAGGATGCCAGGTAGGCACTCAGCAAGAGAAACAGAGCTCCACAAGCTCTTTACGGAAGAAATTCAAAATACAATGGTATAACCGAGCACGGCTTCAGGCAGAGCATCGCACATCAGAGCCAGGCCCAGAGGCCCAGCGCTCCCGTGACAACAGCACGGGCCGTCTGTCCAACGGCCCACTGAAATGCTTCCATTCTAGGTCCACAGGACGCGGAGAGCTCTTCTCCTAACAAGGTTCAAGTTCAAGCCCTTCTGCCCAAGTTCAGCACACTATAGAAAATCCAGCAGTGGCCCTCTAAGGGCCACGGGGGAGCCATAGCCACAGGAATCACAGGAATGCAAATGCCCCAGAACGCTCGCACCAGGACCTGCCTGGTTCCAGTGGGCAGAGCTGAGCTCTTCCACCACTTCACTTTCTAGGCAGGGGGCCACAGACCGGAAGGGAGCTGGGAGCCACAGGTCCATGTGGTGGGCTTGGGGAAATGGACCCTAGACAGCAGCTGCTGGCCAGGTTGCTTCCTGTGGTCACTCGCCCAGGCACACAGGCCCAGGCCCACGCTCCCACCTTTCCGGGCCGGCTCTCTCACCCACAGAGCATGACTGATGGTCAGCGACTCACATCTGTCTGGCTTCAAGGACAAAAGCAGAATGAAGCCCCACCACCCAAGTCTCCGATGCCCGTGGCAAGGCCACCCAGAGGTGTGCTCTCCTGGGCCCTCACCCCACCGCATCCCAGCCACAGCCACAGCAGGGTGTCAGTGGCAGCCCCTACCTTTGTAAGGATGCACCATCCCATCCAGCACCTGCACTGTGTCGTCCCCCTGCAGCTGCAGGGACACGTCCCCCACCGCGTCCACCAGCTCGGTGAAGAAGTCGGCAATCTCCGCACAGTCCTGCAAGAACACGTAGCGGTCCTGGCGGTTGGTGAAGTAGGAGTCACTCAGGTTTGCACTACAGGGAGGGAAGACGCAGGTGAGGAGGTCTCAGGCAAGAGTATGCAGCAGCGTGTCCTGGTGACCCAGGTCTCAGGTGAACTAACGGGGGTGACGAACTCAGGTCAGGACGCAATTAACAAATAGCCACTCAGCAATGAACATGTGCAAGAGACAAAGCCAGAGCCAATCCAAGGTGACAGGTGACACAGCAATGTGACCCACAGGCCCTCCTCTCAAGGAGCTGACAATCTAGCTAAGAGGAGGAGATGCAGAAAGTCAACTAATCATGCAGGGCATTCTTTTTTTTTTTTGAGACAGTGTCTCATTCTGTCGCCCCGGCTGGAGTACAGTGGCACGATCCTGGCTACCTGCAGCCTCCACCTCCCAGGTTCAAGTGATCCTCCTGCCTCAGCCTCCCAAACAGCTGGGATGACAGGGGTGCACCACCATACCTGGCTAATTTTTGTATTTTAAGTAGAGACACGGTTTCGCCACGTTGGCCAGGCTGCTCTCAAACAGGTGATCCCTCTGCCTCAGCCTCCCAAAGTGCTGGGATTACAGGCGTGAACTACCGTGCCCAGCCCACGCAGGGCTATTTATCAGCGCCCATGTTTGCTTGTTTTCTTTGTCCCATTAAGTGACAGCTGCCGCTGGTACAGTACCAGGGCAAGGATGCCATCAAGGGCTTTCTCTCGGCACCAGGAACCCAATCCTGGCCCCACTCCGAGGAGAGGGCCCGTGAAAGGGCCCATGTTTATCAGCCCAAGGACCTGGACTTCCAAGTCTGACTCTTGGTTATTTCTCTGGCTCTCTCTACCTGACAAGTTCCTCAACCTCCTTCATCTGTTTCCACATGTACACAGTGAGGAAAATACTACAGAGGGCCACTGTGAGGCAGGAACAGACAGCATATCTGAGTGTCCAATCAATGGTGGCTTCCAGTCAGCCCTTGGGGGCTTCCGGCCTCAGCGGCAGAGACAGTGCCACGGGAGGTGCGGCGGGTGTACAACAGCCAGACCTACAAGCAGGTTCTCCAAGGCCAAGGGGAACGGGTTTCCCACCGCTCCTATTCCACCGCCGTCCAGGCTGCAGAGCACGAAGTCGAGCGTGGGCAGCACTCACCCGCTCACGATGACGCTGTTGTCGAAGAGGTACACCTTCATGTGCTGGAGGCCGATGGTCTCATTGAAGCGCTCTGGGATGAGGAGCCGGAGCAGGCCGCGGAGGTGCGGCGTGTGAAAGAGCGAGACTCGGACCTGCTCTGGGAACCTCTGCAGGAGTGGGAGCAGCATCGTGCGTGAGTTCTTCCGGCCTGAACACACGGACACAGAGAACGCAGCCGCTGACTCCCAGCAGAAAGGCGTCCTGCCCGTACCCGCTCCACGTGCCTCGCCTTCACCTCTTCGCCTGTGCCACCCACCTGAATCAGTCGCACCAACTGGGGCTACTCCTAGCCAGAGGTCCCCCGGCTACCCTCTGTCTTGCATGCTGGCCATGTATCAGGCCTGGAGTGCTGGGCGTGGCAGACACCTGCTGTTGTTACCACCCTGCACCCACTCACCCTCCTTCTGGTAACTGCATCCAACCTCTTCCTGGGGCACTACTCCATCCACTTGCAGCATTTCTGCACTGGGGGAAGATGACCCTACCCACCTCAGCCCTCACCCCAAGCTCCATGGGGGAGCACATAGGCCTGGGCTGGGCTGCTCAGCACACTCTGAGCTCCCAGCTGGGCATGCGCCCATGTCAGGCTGCTCAGGGGCTTTGACCTCTCAGGGAACCAGACTCTTCCAAAGGACAAGGTATCCCGGGGAGGCAGGCCTGAGCCACCAGCGGCCACCACACAGAGCCTGAGTCGGAAGCCAGCCCAAAGGAAACAGCTAGGGGATGGACCCTGGTGACACAGTCATTTAAACCTCAGATCACAAGCCGCCCAGGGTGGATCAGTCACAGGAATTCACAACCAAAGTCTTTCTGCCTGTGGCAGTTTTTCAAGAGACAAAGTCTGGCTATGTCGCCCAGGCTGGACTCAAACTCCTTGGCTCAGGCAATCCGCCCACCTCAGCCTCCCAAGCAGGTGGGACTACAGGGCGAGCCACTACACTCAGCTCCTGCCTCAGCTGTTTTTAGTTGGACTTTCAATCAGTTGCTGCAGAAAAAATCCTAACTCGCACCATCAGGCAGTCCTGGGCCAGCTTGGATGATCTTCAGATAGCCCTGTCTCTGCCTGAGACAGGGGGGTGACAGTAACTCCTCCAGGAACTGAGTATCTGACACAGGAAGCATGAGGGGGCCAGGCATGCATGCCACCTACCTCGTGAGCCCCGTGTGAAGTCTAAGAGAATAGAGACCTTGAGATCTGAAGGAAGCTTTGCTTGGAGTGACTTTTCTAGAGTACTTTCCAGGCAGTCCACCTGCCAAGAAAGAACACCGACAAAGAAAAGATTAAGACCCAAAGATTAAGACCAAAGTTGGGCGGACTGGCCAGCTCTGCCAAGGGCTGGTGTCAGGTGCCAGGGCTGCGGCCAGTCTTGTTCCCCTCAGACTTGCCGTTGTGCCACACTTGTCACTTAGAGTGAGATAGGTGGGTGGGAAGGAGCCAGTGGTCACCAGGTTTCTATGAGCTGTTACGGCCAGAGGCGTATTTAAAAAGAAACCAATCGCCCCATCCCCTAGCGCCCTCATCATCTTCTCCAAAGACAGGTTTGTGCCCTCGGCACTCAGACACCAACACCACAAAAGCTTTCTGTCTGAGAGCCCCTTCATGATCATCAGAAGCAGCCACCCAGGGGCTCTGATCAGCCCAGGCCTCTAGGAAGGGAAGGGGGACCTACAGGCAGAGGCATGCTGCCCGATAGCCGGCCCTTGCCACCCTGGAAACACTATGACACCAAGTTCTACGAACATTTCAACACAGACAATCCTCAAACAGACACAACAAACAGTGCCCTCCTCATAAAGAGCACTTAGTAAGTATTTGCCAAATAAATGAGTCCAAGACACAACCTGCCCACTGGCCACTCTCCACAGTGTGGGCATTATATTCTTCTCTCATGAGAACAGACAGGCTCCCAGACTTGGAATGGAGGGTATATCCTAAAAACAGAAGGAGGCCTACTTCCTAGGAGAGGCAGAGAGGGGAGGACTGCTCATGTGAATCCACTGCCCTCCCTCTCCACGCTCCAATCCCTACAGCTCCCACCTGTGACTCTGAACAAGGACAGACCAAGAAACAGCACTAACTCTGGGCAACAGGCCCATCCATTTCACTATACCGAGCAGATGGCAATCCCCGGAGACTCAGATAAAGAAGTGATCTCATTCACAGACTCACTTCAGCTGAACCGCCGGTCCTGCCATGCACCAGAACCTGCGCTACCCGAACACCTCATACAAACCTGGTGACCGCTGGCTCCTTCCTACCCACCTATCTGTGCCACCTTGCCAGTGTGGCACAATGGCAAGTCCGAGGGGAACAAGGCTGGCTGCAGCCCTGGCACCTGACACCAGCTCTTGGCAGAGCCGGCTGGCCAGCCAGCCTAACTTGCACTCGGGCCCATTAGTCTAGTATGGGGTCAGAAAGCCTTTTCTGTAAACGGCCAGAGAGTAAATTATTGGAGCTTTACGGACCAGATGGGTTCTGCCACTGCAGCATGAAAGCAGCCACAGGTAATACACAAATGAATGAGTGTGGCTGTGTTCCAATAAAATGTTATTGACCAATACAGAAATTTAAATTTTTCATAAGTCACAAAATATTTTTTTCTTCCCCAATTATTTGAAAATGTAAAAACCAGCCGGGCGCGGTGGCTCAAGCCTGTAATCCCAGCACTTTGGGAGGCCAAGGCGGGTGGATCACAAGATCGAGAGATCGAGACCAACCTGGTCAACATGGTGAAACCCCGTCTCTACTAAAAATACAAAAAATTAGCTGGGCATGGTGGCGCATGCCTGTAATCCCAGCTACTCAGGAGGCTGAGGCAGGAGAATTGCCTGAACCCAGGAGGCGGAGGTTGCGGTGAGCCGAGATCGCGCCATTACACTCCAGCCTGGGTAACAAGAGCAAAACTCCGTCTCAAAAAAAAAAAAAAAAGAAAAGAAAAAAAAGAAAATGTAAAAACCACTGTTTCTTAGCTCACAGGCCACTCCAGCCTGCAGAGCATGAAGCCGAGCCCCAGACACAGTTGGCCGAGACAGAGCTGCCTGGGGTTCTGTGTGCGCAGGAGGACTCTGCCAGTGAGGCCAGAGGGCCCAGACCAGGCCTCCCCACGCTCTCCTCACCAGGCCCTCCTGACATGCCCATATCTGGGGCAACAAAACCAAGAGCTGGCTGTGCCATGGGGACCAAGAAAGGGCCGTTCCACACCAACTCCATGGCGCAAAGAGTTGTGGCATGCTGCTGCCAGGACCATCTCCCCCAAAACCTTACCAGCTCCTGTTCCAAAGGACCTGTGCCCAGGTAGAGGGATGCCATCACGACTCGCCTCTTGGCCACTCTTATCTGCCCCTGAAAGAGGAGAAAAAAATCAAAATTCACATGCATCATTTTCACGGTTCACTAAGAAAATAGAACCCTTTGACCTAGGAGGCAAATCACACTCCATGCTGAACTATCCTATCCTATGTCTTCACCGATCATTATTTAAAGCAAGCTGAAAATGTGTATGGTAACCACAATCCTAAGTGAAAACAGCCTGCAAAGTAAAGCACAGTCTAGGACAACTCTAAAATGCAGCGCAGCCATTAAGAAGAATGAAAGCCGGCTGGGTGTGGTGGCTCACGCCTATAATCCCAGCACTTTGAGAGGCCAAGCCAGGTAGATCACTTGAGGCCAGCCTGGCCAACATGGCGAAACCCCGTTCTACTAAAAACAAAGATTTGGCTGGGCACAGTGGCTCATGCATCTAATTCCAGCACTTTGGGAGGCCAAGGCAGGCAGATCACCTGAGGTCCAGAGTTCAAGACCAGCCTAACCAACATGGAGAAACCTCATCTCTACTAAAAATACAAAAAATTAGCTGGGTGTGGTGGCGCACGCCTATAATCCCAACTGCTCGGGAGACCAAAGTAGACGAATCACTTGAACCCAGGAGGTGGAGGTTGCAATGAGCCAAGACTGCATGATTGCTCTCCAGCCTGGGCAACAAGAGTTTACCTCCATCTCAAAAAATAAAAAAAATTTTAAATATAATAAATAAAAGCATAAAGATTAGCCAGGCCATGGTGGCACATGCCTGTAATCCCAGCCACTTGGGAGGCTGAGGCGGAAGAATCACTTGCGAGCTGTGATCACAACACTGCACTCCAGCCTGGGCAACAGAGCAAGACTCTGTCTCAAAACAAAGAAGAATGAAGGCAATCTGTGCATACTGCCACAAACATCCACAATGGATTGCTGAGACAGCAAATGACCCGTTCTCCCGCCTCTTACGCCTCACTCCTGCACACAGCACGCAGGCAGGCACACGTGTCTGCAGAAGCATGAAGAATACGTAGCAAACTGTCCCCCAAAGAGCAGAGCTCAAAGGAAGGGGAGTATGGACACAAACCTGTCCTCTTCACTTTCTACCCATCTGCACAGTTTCCAACGTCCATACCGAGCACACATCACTTTTGAAATGTAGAGAGATAGGTATACAGACACGTGAGCAGAACGCACCAATGCCCAAAGATGGCATCCCAAATCAGTCCTAACAGCCAGGTCCTCTCCCTAGCAGCCCCATTCCGGAGGAGGAAGCAGGGATGCAAAGAATGGCAGTGTACCAAAGGTCAAACCCCAAAAGATACACAGGTCTCCGATGCAGATGAGAAGGAGACAGCTTCACATCTACCTGCTTCCCTTTCAGAAGGAACATCACAGCCCACCCCACATCCTCAACACAGGAAGACAGGCAACTTGAGTAGACAGAAACATGAATGATCACTAGGAAAGGTTTCCGGACAAGGAAAAAGCAAAGCAACTTTCCAAGGTTGCTATTTCCTTTGTTTTGTTACCAAGTGAAATAGATGTTTGTGGGGTTGATGATTATAAAGAAAAGGAAAAAATAAATAAGGCATAAGACAATTTAGTCCAGGCAAGCAAAGCATCTCTGACTGTTTACTACAGGACACCAGGCCCTACAGCTATAATGAAGGCATGAGGACCAGGCAGAAACCAGCATTGTCTTCTCTTCTTGCTATGTGCCCTGGAAAGAAACACATGCTACTCAGCATGCCACAAGCCAGGACAATCTGCCCACAGTTCAGCCCAGATGGCAGGAAAAGCAGCCCCTGGTGTCTTCTCAGCCTCCGGGGGCAAGCCCCTCCACCCCCTTCCCACTCTCTGCAGGTCCACCCTCCTCAGGCAGGGACGACCTCCTGGCCAGGGAATCACCACATGCAGACAGTCAGTCAACCTCCCAGAGCTGATAAGGACAGAGAATTGCCTGTGAAAAACCTGTTTCTCCAAGCCAAGGAGAGAACCAAGTAGGAGCCAAGAGCCAACAGTTGCAGCATCATTCGGCACAAACAAGCATGACCAGGACAGACAAGCAGCACAGGCAGGCGGGTGAGAGGGGAGAACAAAAGGGCACGCCTGTGTGCACGCACGCACACAGAGAATGCGTTCTGGAATGAGCCAGCCAGAAATTACGGTAAGTGTGGATCAACAGAACGAGAGGGCAAAAGGAGAGAAATGGGCAGCCATTCAAATGACTGAGAGTTCATTTTCTGCACAAAGGTGAGTCTCTACCTGCATTTCCTATTGTCTCCCAGCATTCTGCCTGCTTGCCCAGCCCCATCAGACGTTCGTTCTGGTTTTTTTTGGTTTTTTTTTTTTTAGATAGAGTCTTGCTCTGTCACCCAGTCTGGAGTGCAGTGGTGCAATCTCAGCTCACTGCAACCTCTGCCTCCTGGGTTCAGCCGGGTTCAAGTGATTCTCCTGCCTCAGCGTCCGAGTAGCCAGGATTACAGGTGTGCACCGCCCTTTTGTATTTTTAGTAGAGACAGGGTTTCACCACACTGGCCAGCTGGTCTCGAACTCCTGACCTCAGGTGATCCACCCGCCTCGGCCTCCCACAGTGCTGGGATGACAGGCGTGAGCCAGCGAGCCCGGCCAGACATTCATTCTAATATCATCGCTGATACACACTCAGGGAGTTCACGCTGTTATAAATTCGTTAGTGCAGGCCGGGCGCAGTGGCTCACGCCTGTAATCCCAGAACTTTGGGAGGCCAAGGCGGGTGGATCATGAGGTCAAGAGATCGAGACCATCTTGGCCAACATGGTGAAACCCCGTTTCTGCCAAAAATACAAAAATTAGCTGGGCATGGTGGTGAACGCCTGTAGTCCCAGCTACTCAGCAAGGCAGGAGGATTGCTTGAACCCAGGAGGCGGAGGTTGCAGTGAGCCGAGATCACGCCACTGCACTCCAGCCTGGCGCCTGGTGACAGAGCGAGACTCTGTCTCAAAAAAAAAAATTCGTTAGTGTTGAATTACTTCATTCCAATTAGCAGTTTAACCAGAATAACTAGATGTGGCATGTAAACCTGAGTAACATGTTGAAAGCCGAACCCCCAAACACAAAACTTTCATCACTACCAGGAGAGGAAAGGCACACACTTAAGACAAGAGTTCCTAAAGAGCCAAGACAACAAGGCTTAGATCAGGATGTCTAAATTCCCCAGTTATCTTAAAAGGCCTCTTCATGCGTATCAAATCCCCACACACAGGTTTCTACATCCTATCAATTACATCTACCAAGATGACACTACTGTGTCTGGAGATGATTCCAGGGTCAGGGGTCCATCATGCACAGACTAGATAAGGGTGCCCTCCTTCCCTGTCACCTTTAGCAAGGACATACCCATGCAGCCCACAGGTCCTCACTAACCTCCCTTTTCATGGTCCACAACTTCACCACGGAACAAAAGGAATCAGTGTGCCCACAAGAATCAAAGTCCAGGCCTGGCGCAGTGGCTCACGCATGTAATCCCAGCATTGGGGGAGGTCGAGGCGGGCAGATCACAAGGTCAGGAGTTCGAGACCAGCTTGGGCAACATAGTGAAACCCCCGTCTCTATCAAAAATACAAAAATTAGGGCCGGGCGTGGTGGCTCAAGCCTGTAATCCCAGCACTTTGGGAGGCCAAGGCGGGTGGATCACAAGGTCAAGAGATTGAGACCAACCTTGGTCAACAAGGTGAAACCCCGTCTCTACTAAAAATAAAAAAAATTAGCTGGGCATAGTGGTGCATGCCTGTAATCCCAGCTACTCAGGAGGCTGAGACAGGAGAATTGCCTGAACCCAGGAGGCGGAGGTTGCAGTGAGCCGAGATCGCGCCATTGCACTCCAGCCTGGGTAACAAGAGCGAAACTCCGTCTCAAAAAATAAAATAAAATAAAATAAAATAAAATAACAAAATAAAATAAAGGCTAGGTCCTTGTTCTTACTGTTGCCTCCTCAGAGCTTCTCCACCTGAGACACTGGCCCGACAGGTAAGTTTCTGACTGTGGCTCAGCTCAGCCATCCATGAGCTGAAACCTGACAGGTAAAACCCAAAAGGAATAAGCTGAGCAGCTAGCAACAGCTTCTAGACTAGAAAGCACTCAGGACTCAGCAATCTGATCCCCCAAAAGCTCTAACTCAAACTTTTCTTCCTTTAGACACAACTTACCTTCATGAGCTCAAAAAACTCTGCCGGGGAAGAAAGCACCCTGACATGAGAACTGGAGACTCCAAATTCTGGAACCAGGTTTCTGATCCACTGGAACCGGTGCACACCTTCTGGACACAGGCAACATGGTGGGGAGGTGACCTGGGGAACAGCTGGGGACAGCAAGGGAGCCAGTAACAGCCATGGTGACCTAAAGAAATATGCAACAGGGTTATACCTCAAATACTTCTGCAGAAGCCCCTCTCAGTTACTGGGGGGTGAAGAGGGGCTGGGAGATGAGCGTGTTTTTGTTTTATGAATGTCAGATTTTCTAGAACATTTTAAAAAGTGGGCCCAACTTAAGCGCTGCTAAAGGGTTTTTCCTTCAGCCCCCATTCCTCTTATTCCTTAAAGAGCCTACTAATTAAGCACCACTTGAGAAGTGTCAATACCTATAGATAAATCCACACTGTGATTCCAGACAACTCAAGAAATCATTTAGAGCATCCACAAGTAAACTCACAAAAGCTCTCACATGGTTTGCCACCACATGGCAACCTTCTAATGACTCTACCTCAAAAAAATTTGCCTACAGGCTGGGCACAGTAGCTCACGCCTGTAATCCCAGCACTTTCGGAAGCCGAGGTGGGCAAATCGCCTGAGGTCCGGCGTTCGAGACCAGCTTGGCCAACATGGAAAACCCTGTCTCTACTAAAAATACAAAATTAGCTGGGCATGATGGCACATGCCTGTAATCCCAGCTACTCAGGAGACTGACGCAGGAAAATCACTTGAACCAGAGAGGCGGAGGTTGTGGTGAGCTGAGATCATGCCATTACACTCCAGCCTGGGCAACAAGAGCGAAACTCCATCTCAAGGGGAAAAAAAAAAAAAAAAAAAAAAAATCTGCCTACAGCCCACCACTAAAAGAACCTACCACAAGAGTAAGTCTGGCAGGAGTCTGATGATTACAGCCCAGATGCGCTGCTTTATGAATCAGGATATAAACAAGTTTTCTATTCAAGGAAGCACCCAGAAAAAGAAACTTCTCTTTAAAAATCCAATTTCCAGCCAGGCACGGTGGCTCACACCTGTAATCCCAGCACTTTGAGATCACCTGAAGTCAGGAGTTCAAGACCAGCCTGGCCAACATGCTGAAACTCTGTCTTTACTAAAAATATAAAAACTAGCTGGGTGTGTGAGGCAGATGCCTGTAATCCCAGCTACTTGGGAGGCTGTGGCAGGAGAATCACTTAAACCCGGGAGGCAGATGTTGCAGTGAGTAGAGATCAAGCCACTACACTCCAGTCTGGCTGACAGAGCAAGACTTGGTCTCAGAAAAAAATTTTTTTAGAATTAGCTGGACGTGGTGGCACACGCCTGTAGTCCCAGCTACTCAGCAGGCTGAGGCAGGAGGATTGCCTGAGCCCAAGGCTGTTCTTCCAGCTATGATCATGCCTTTGCATTCCAGCCTGGGTGACACAGCGAGATCCTGTCTCAATCAATTAAAATCAGACTTGGAAACAAAAGCTGGAGCAGGAAGAGAACGGAGAAAATGAGCTCCTCTCAAGAGTGATGAGCCCTGGCTGGGCACGGAGGCCCACACCTGTAAACCCAGCACTTTGGGAGGCTGACGTAGGTAGATTACCTGAGGTCAGGAGTTCAAAGATCAGCCTGGCCGACACAGTGAAACCCCATCTCTACTAAAAATAAAAATACAAAAAAATTAGTCGCGTATGGTGGCCGGCGCCTGTTCTCCCAGCTACTCAGGAGGCTGAGGCAGGAGCATTGCTTGAACTAGGAGGGAGAGGTTGCAGTGAGCTAAGAGTGCCATTGCACTGCAGCCTGGACAACAAGAATAAAACTGTCTCAAGAAAAAAAAAAAAAAGTGATGATGAGCCATGACCCTGCAGCATCAGACACATCCTCTTTGGGGGGGGGTCACACACCATCTCTGGCCAGTGTTGGCCTGACCACACAAAGCTGCACCTCTGGCAGACGCCACACTCCACTGAGGCTGAGGCTGGAGGAGATGTGTTTCTGCCCAGAACTGCATTTCTGCTGCTCAATGACTGAAAAACCTGCGGGGGACAGGGGCGGAGGCACTGTATGCCGAGAACCCCACACAAACCTGACCTACTATGAATCCTGGTCCTGCAAACAGCAGCAGGAAAATCCACTTCAGTATGTGATCTCAAGAGGGACTCAGGGGAAGAGGACGTTCAAACAATCCCAAGGTCTGAATGGCCACAAATTCCAGGAAGATGATTTCACTTGCTTGCTTCATGATAAAGCCCTGAATCTTCCCCGGGTTCGTAAATGTTCCTGCACAGACACCAGATGGCCCACAGCTGCACTTCCCAGAAAGCCCACTGGTCATGCCCAATTCACTGCCAAGAAAACCTTAGTCAACAGCAGAAGGTGCTGGCTCTGTGGATCCTGGAAGTCTGGGACTGGCCGTGGCCACCCAGGGCAGAGGTGGGAAACAGCTGTTCTCCCCCACTGTCTCTAGAGGGAGTGATGACACTCCCGGGCATCAGCTTGCAAATGAAAGGCCTAGATGTGTAAAGCAGGGCTCGATGCTGCCTGGGTTTCCCGCTGCTGGGTTTCCCACGTCCTGGGCCACCCTCCTGCAGTGCTAGAGAGAGGAGAGGGAAGGACCCTTCAGTGCAGCAGAAACCAAGAGACAATGGGAAAGGTGCACAGCAACCCATCAACCTGAGGCCCCAAGGGGGCCTGGAGTCCGATATTCACCAATGAGACACGGTCTGTGGTGGGGGAAACGGGCAACAGCAGCAGCAGATCAATGTCTCCTCTGCCTCACGGCACCTCTGCCATCTCTCAGACCACCCAAAAACCAGGTGCCACCTGTACTGCTCCAGGTCACACAGCCTTCAGAGAAGGTGAGAGCCGCAGCCAGGCACAGTGGCTCATGCCTATCTAGCAGTTTGGCAGGCTGAGGAGGGCAGATCACTTGAGGTCAGGAGTTCAAAACCAGCCTGACCAATATAGTGAAACCCCGACTCTACTAAAAAGACAAAAAAAATTAGCCAGGTATGATGGTGGGTGCCTGTAATCCCAGCTATTCAGGAGGCTGAGGCAGGAGAATCGCTTGAACCCGGGAGGCAGAGGTTGCAGTGAGCCAAGAAGACACCACTGCACGCCAGTCTGAGCAACAGAGCGAGACTTCATCTCAAGAAATAAAAGAAAACAAAAAAAGTGGGGCCAGGTGCAGTAGTTCAAGCCTGTAATCCCAGCACTTTGGGAGGCTGAGGCGGGTGGATCACCTGTGGTCGGGAGTTCAAGACCAGCCTGACCAACATGGAGAAACTCCATCTCTAGTTAAAAATATGAAATTAGCCAGGTATGGTGGTGGATGTCTGTAATCCCAGCTACTCAGGAAGCTGAGACTAGGAGAATCGCTTGAATCCAGGAGGCAGAGGTTGCGGTGAGCCAAGAGCATGCCATTGCACTCCAGCCTGAGCAACAAGAGCAAAACTCCATCTCAAAAAAAAAAAGAAAAGGGCCAGGTAGAGTGGCTCACGCCTCTAATCCCAGCACCTTGGGAGGCAAAGGCAGGTGGATCACCTGAGGTCAGGAGTTCAACACCAGCCTGGCCAACATGGTGAAACCCCATCTCTACTAAAAATACAAAAATTAGCCAGGCGTGGCTGAAGCAGGAGAATTGCGTGAAACCAGGAGGCAGAGGTTGCAATGAGCCGAGATCGTGCCACCACACTCTAACCTGGGTAACAGAGACTCTACTCCCCCGCCCCCAAAAAAAAGGGAAGACAAGGAAACACTCCTTGGCACACAGCAACCCAGGAGAGGGCAAGTTCAACTTAACCCTAAGTCCAACTTAACCATCAACAAAGCCAGCATGTGAGCACATGTGACATACCATGGAGGGCACAAACGAACCAGGCAGTCTCTGCCTCCCACAACCTTGGTGGGCTCACAGACTTACATACCTGACATCATCTAAGAACTCAAGAAAAGATGCTAAAATTAAATCAATGTTCAAATAGTGCATGTGCTTCAAGGCATCAAAAAAGGGGAGCTGATGACGCCTGGGCTACTGGGAGGTTCTGCAGCGTTCTACCTCCAGTAGGCCTCAGAAAGCTGGCAGGACTCAAACATGGAGTGCAGAGAGGAGGGTGTTGCCAGCAGTGTAAACAAACATAAGCAGCAGGGACTGGGCTGGGTGCAATGGCTCACACCTATAATCCCAGCACTCTGGAGTCTAAGACAGGAGAATCGCTTGAAGTCAGGAGCTCCGGACCAGCCTGGGCAACATAGCAAGACCCTGTCTCTACAAAAAATTTAAAAAAAAAAAAAATTAGCCAGGCGTGGAGGCACTGTAGTCCCAGCTACTCGGGAGGCTGAGGTGGGACAACTGCTTAATCCTGGAGGTCAAGTACAGAAAGAAAGAGGAAAGAAGAAAGAAAGAACAAAGGGAAAGGGAAAGGAAGAAGGAAAGAAGAAAGAAAAGAAAAGAAAGAAAGAAGCGCCCAGCACAGTGGCTCACACCTATAATCCCAACACTTTGGGAGGCAGAGACAGGCAGATCACAAGGTCAAGAGATCGAGACCATCCTGGCCAATACAGTGAAACTCCGTCTCCACTAAAATACAAAAATTAGCTGGCATGGTGGCATGCGCCTATAGTCCCAGCTACTCACGAGGCTGAGGCAGGAGAACTGCTTGAACCCGGGAGGTAGAGGTTGCAGTGAGCCAAGATAGGACCACTGCACTCCAGCCTGGCTCCTGGCAACAGAACAAGACTCTATCTCAAAAAAACAAAAAAGAAAAAAAAGAAAGAAAGAAAGAAGCAGGAACTAGCAAGACCACTCTCAGCAGAAAAACCCAAGAGGTCTTCAATAGTCCAGATCCTGGAGGTCAAGTGCAGAAAGCAAGCAAGCAAGCAGGAACCAACAAGAACACTCTCAGCAGAAAAACTCAAGAGGGTCTCAACAGTCCAGAGAAAACACACACAGACACATGGAGTCTACACAGGTGTCAGGGTCCACCTATCACCTCCGTCCTACCTGCAGAAACCCACTTTGGCAGGCACAAGACTGATGAGCCCAGAGGCCCCAGGGCTATCCTAAGCAGGTCTCCTTCTTACCAGGCAGCTCTTGCTGGGAATGTTCCACCAGGGCCTCAGGCCAAGAGCTCTTGAAGGCTTTTTTATGTTGGCTTCCTGTTTAAT